TTATTGGTGTTTAGACTTAAATTAACAGATAGATTTAAATTACTTTCGGGATGCTTATTTTCGTGTATATTCTATATATGCAGTATGAAACAGAAGTAAAGTTCAATAAAGGTGACAAATTTGTGTCTTATCAAATTCATAGCAAATAAAGGAGCATTTTAACAAAGTACTAACAAACAGTTGTATATGCAAATTAAATTATTTCAGTAGATCATGTAGATAGACTAATCTGTTTAACTTTACTGTGATAAGGAGTCATGTCCTGACACGATCCTCAGATGCTCAGTTTTGGTCCAGCATATGTTAAAAATCAGTCCCACCGTTAAAAAAAATTAGGCAAAACATGGAAGACCTAAAGCTCGTATTTTCATAATGCACACCAATTTGGCATGTCAAAATAAAGTAACAAAGAAACTGAAATTAAGATTGAAGATTTATTATAACATAGTTATTGTGGCTTTCTTTTTTAGTTACTGAAGCTTTACTCTATTTCTGCTATTTAGAAAACTTATTTTGTTTGTATGCGCAGTTTAAGTAGATTTGACTGAAAAGAATCAGCTAGTCTTTAAAAATTCTGAATATTTACCATATTTCAGTATTCTATCTGAATTTTGTATTTATAGTACTTATTGCTTTGTCTTCATAAGAACAGGTAAGATTCTAAGTTTCTAAAGAAAGATGCTAATTGTTTAAAAGCCTTATCTTAAATATAAATTTGATTACGATTTATTTTTTCCCAGTAATTAGATCTTTTGATGTCAACAAGCCTGGTTGTGAAGTTGATGACCTGAAAGGCGGTGTTGCTGGTGGCAGTATTTTAAAGGGTGTTCTAAAGGTAACGTTTTCTTATTTCTCTCAGAAGTTACTGCAGTGAGAGAACTGAGTAAAGCTTTTGTGTGCCTGGTAAAAGAGGAATCTATAAAATTGAAATTTATTGCTCTTATTTTTAAACTAGAAGTTAGGTGCCCTTTTGTTTGTGACTTACTACTTTCCTCTTAAAATACAGGAACAAGAAATACTTGTCTTTATTTCTGTATATTTTTTGTTTTAGTAGTCTCAACTTTCGCTACTAACAAGACCCTTTTTCATTACTCAGAAATTGTGGGAGATTTTTTCTTAATACTTGCCTTGATAAAATATTTTTGGAAAAAAAAAACAATTTTAAAGGTACTTCTGTTACACTGGAAAGCAAACTACATCTTTACATGCCTACACAACGCATGTTTTCCTCGTCTTGCAGTTTATTGGTGTCTTGCAGTGACCAAGTTGGCTCTATTTTTCTCAGTGTTGTAACATTTCTGAATGAAATGTCAGTGTCACTAAAAACATAAATTTAAGCTAGAATTTAGATGTAGGAATGATCACTGATAAAGATCCTTTATTAAGGCTACTTGGGAGAAAAGTAGTTGTGTTTCATTGGCTGTAAGTTAAAGCGCTTTTGAGTTTTCAGTAAACAGTGCAACAAACATCCTGGAAGTTGTGCATTGTCCCAGAAACAAGGACTCATAGAAGTAGTAGGTCTTGGGAAAACTAGGTCTCATCTGTGCTGAGTAATTAGTTAGCTGTATGTTCCTGTGAAACGACCACTTAACTGCCTTTTCACCTTTGCAATTAGGTGGGTCAGGAAATCGAGGTCCGGCCTGGTATTGTGTCGAAGGACAGCGAAGGAAAACTCATGTGCAAGCCAATCTTTTCCAAAATTGTATCCCTCTTTGCAGAACACAATGATCTCCAATATGCTGCTCCAGGAGGCCTTATAGGTAAGCACAGTCTCTTATGAGAAGTTGTTTTGGAAGTGCTTTCCGGGCAAAAAGGAATAAGGTCTCAATTTGCTGTGTTGAGGTCTCCTTCAAACACCCTAAAATGTAAACATGGCTGCTGCCTTTCAATTGTTCTTTGCGACTTGTTGTGTTTTAGGTGTCGGAACCAAGATTGATCCAACTTTGTGTCGGGCTGACCGAATGGTAGGCCAGGTTCTTGGTGCGGTTGGAGCACTGCCTGAAATATTTACAGAGCTAGAAATTTCTTACTTCTTGCTAAGGCGATTATTAGGTGTGCGCACTGAAGGAGACAAGAAAGCTGCAAAGGTCTGTACCCCTTTTCAGAAAGACGGCAATTTACATACACTTTTTAAAATTTGCTTATTAACTGTGATAATTTTTGTTAGCACGTACATTTTTTTTTTCTGATTTATATGGTATTTTTGCGTCTCTAACATAGGCTCCTGTCTCTCAGGTGACTAACATTTATTTATCTAATACTGTAGAAGAATGCTTTTCAGCAGAGCAGGAATTCATATCAGGATGGTTTAAAATACTGTTCAGTATTTATACGTCATGAAATTTGGTATTCTAAACATATTGATAGTTGTTTTTCTTTGCTGTCAGCCTATTTGTTTGCGCAATAACTAGTTTTGCAAGCAGAATGTTTGACTCCCTCCTTGCTTGCTCCTTGTAGATTGTCTCTTAAGAACTCTTTAAAACTAAATACTTCAGAAATACTGTGGTTCAAAAGTAACTGTGACCTTCATGCACAGCAGTCTCTTGTTCCATGGTCTATTTTACCCAAAAATCAAACTAAACATTGTAGTCTTAATTGATAACATTAAAAATTAAAAGCTGCCTTGTTTATTGGTAACTTTTCCACCTTATTTTTCTCCTGTGATTTCTCCTGTGTTCTATTTTGAGAAATTGTCTTGATTTACGTAGGCTTTGGGGAAATGGGAACGTGAGCATTGTGCAGGAGAAGGGTGTAACATTGCTGTCTAGCCAACTATATTGGCTCAGCTGTATCCGAGCCAGTGTTTGCACTACTAATATATCATGTGCAGTTTGGGATGTTTTATAGAAAATGGTGCAGTAAACTTTCCTGGGTTTTCTTTGCCATAAAAGCCTCCAATACTAAATGAACAGCATATTTGTCCTTTCGGAAGAATGAAAATGTAACTTTTCTTCATTGGCACTGTTTTGCATGGTTGGCACGTGGGCATCATTACAAATTACAGGTTTTTCATCCTTCAGCTATGTTTGGTTTTGTTTTGTTTTTGTTTTTTTTCTCCCCATCCCCTCTGGTCATTTTCTTCTTCAGAGGCATTTTGTTGCTAAACAATGTGAACTTAATATGAGCAGTTTTAAAGCTTAGGTTTCCGATTTTTGCTTCTCTTGTTTCAGGTGCAAAAATTATCCAAGAATGAAGTTTTAATGGTAAACATAGGATCTTTATCCACTGGAGGGAGAGTCAGTGCAGTAAAGGCTGATTTGGGCAAGATTGTGCTAACTAACCCTGTATGCACAGAAGTGGGAGAAAAAATTGCCCTGAGTCGACGAGTTGAGAAACACTGGCGGTAAGTTGCCATTAGGTTGGTAGCAGAGCCAATTATTCTGTTGCCCAGAGAAAGAAAAGTGTGAACTGGATTTTGCTCTGGAATATCTAAATGGGTGTCTGTTCTGTTCTTTGAAACTTGACAGATAGGTACTTGGTTGCTGTGCATGTCCCTGCTGGAAATGTAAAGCTTTTTTTTCCCTCTTTTGCAACAATGTCATTCATAATACGGGCCCTCTTTTAATTTTGGAAACAGGCATAATCCTAATTTTGAAAAGTAGTTTAGTTTTTGTTGAGACTTAAGGTCTATAAAAGCAGAGGAGGGCCTTGCTATTACTGAAAATAAATGCTAGAGTATAAGTTGCACATTCATTGTGTTGTGTTTCAATTAATAATTTCAGTGTCATCTTGTTTGTATTTCCACATTTTCATTTGTCTCCTAAAATAATGCAGCACTTTTATATACGTGGAAAGCAAGCAAGCTATGAATGTGCTTATAGTTTGCTATTATACCTTAAGTTATAAAATTTTGAGGTTTTTAGTCACTGTTCCAAAGTACTGTCTTGGCTGACACATATGCATGTTCTTTCCTTGTTCTTTATTACGTGTTTTCTGTAGCTGCTCTTAGATCTTGCTGGCTGCTTCCGGGAGGGAGTGGGGATTCTGAATGTTGAGAGAACTTGAAGGCAGAAGTGTGACCGAAGGTGCCTGAGTTACTTGGGGTATTTGTAAGTGCTATGAAAAGTAATATACACTGCTTTTTTATTTTGCAGTTTAATTGGCTGGGGTCAAATCAGAAGAGGAGTGACAATCAAGCCAACTGTTGACGATGACTGAAGAACGAAAACGAGTGCTTCATTTTTAAAGATGAAGTGCCTATTTCTATTTTGGGGGGGGTATATTTTCACAGTGGAATTGGAAGCTGTGCGAACATTATCTTTAAGTTGTATGGCTGACATTTTATTGAATTTTACCCTCTTACTAAAATACTAGTCACTATCACCATTAAAAGTGTAAAAGAATTGGCGTAGAAGTGGGTTCAGTTATCCTCATTTTAGTACAATTAATTGTACATGTCTCATGGCATGTCTAATTTATGTTGTGTTTGAGGCATATCTGTTTAATATCAGTCAATTCAGCCCCAGTGTAACACATAAACCATAAATCCAGTATTCAAATAAAATACTGCTTATTTTTCATTAATTCCTACAATTTTTTGAGTAACAAAAGACTGCACTGATTGTTCAAGCAGCACAAAAATTAAAAGCAAGCAAAACCCAGACTCCTTGAGGACTAGTCCTCTTTCTGCACAACATCCCATTTTGTTTCAATGTGAATGGTTCTGGCTGCGGCTCTATTACCCTTTGTAACTAGGATGGCAATGTTGACTGACTTCTTAAAGTTGTCACAGTGTTAACAAGGGCTCTGGATAAAACACAAAGAAGAAATACAAGTAAACTGGATCTGAACTGGCAATGCTGTTTTTGATCTTATTTTAGAATGAATTTATAAAAAGAATATGTTTCATTTGGAAAGTAGCTGTCATTGTGGCACTGTGTGGGTGACCTGACATCTTTATGCAGGTTTAACCTCCTTATTTCAAACTTGAGTTATGCTAGTGAGGAAATATTAGCTATGATCTTGAATTTAAAATATTTGGTAGGGGCTGTTAAAGGGGGGAAGGACTTTGAAAAATCAAAAAATCAGAATCAGAATGAGATGAGGGGTACAAACAATGTAAAACCACCTTGGCTTAGTTAGCCTGGATCACATTCCATGCTTTGAAAGCTTCTTTCTGTAACTCAGGTTCTAGGAACCTGGGAACTGATGGAAATGGGAGGAAGATCAGGGCCGGTGAAGAGCCAGGGTTTTGGCTCTGGCCCCTTCTTGCACGGGGCTCCTTTCCCAAGGGCTGGCCAGGGCTTTGAGCAGCGCAGCCCCCTCACAGGGCATCCTTTGCCTTGCGAAGCATCCGTCCTTCCGAGGACGCCACTAACACTGTGTTTACTATGTAGCTCAAATTAAGCAGGGGACTTAAGAAACAGGGCCCCGTTGTGTTTAGCCGTGTCGCAGATTGCAGCCTCAAAGCATGTACCTACAAAGGTGTAGTTACTAATAGGGACAGAAGATGCTGAAATATACTAACGATAATAACTATGGTCATGCAGCTGCTCTGACCCAGGAGAAGTCTGGGTTGCTGCTCAAGTTTGCTCCTCTCCTGTTGCTGGATGATTGTTCCACCAGCACCTGTGTCAGCTCTAGTGCTTGAGCAGATGTGCAGTGAATCAGATGAGGAAATGAGTCTGGAAGAAAGCTAATTTTGTTTTGATAGGCCAAGAGCTGAGCTCTTCCCTAAGCCCATTTGCTGCGGGGCCACACGAAGCCGAGCTGTGGCGCGGAGAAGCGATGGAGACGAGAGGAGAGTGGCGGGAAGGAAAGCACAATCTCATTTGTTGGCAGCCTGGATTTAAAACGCAGTTTCATGGCCAAATTATTTGTCCTAAGGTTGGAGGTGACAGGGAACGTGGGATACTATGTATTTTGGTTTCCTTAGCTGGGAAAATAACCTCTTTGTCTTCTTTGTTATCTAACATAACCTTTCACCATATATATATGGCTTTGCACTATCTCCTTCAAACCACGAATACATCTTAGCCAAAGTACATATATCAATGCTACAGATCTACAATTAAAGCCAGTATATTTTAACTGTGTAAGTCCAAGTAGCAAAAAAAAAGTGAATAGTTGCTTTCATTTATCCCCACTGATATTTGTTGTTAGCAATTACTCCAATGAGCTGAGTGGAGAATGGAGGCATCCTTGGGAACATCCATGGAGGATGTTGTTGTGAATGTATTTTCATTTCCTATAGTAAGTGCTTAGCTGTATAGCAGTGGGGATTATACGAAGGGAGCGTTTCTCAAGCATGCAGTGGTGGCGTTGCTGCAACAGCTTAAGCCACTTTCAAAGGTTTTGCGAAAATAGGAACAGAAAATCATTATTTTCATCTTTAAGTAAGGCATCAGTACATGAGTATTTATATTATTATATATGTAAGTAACACTAGCTGACTAGAAAAAGAGACACAGATCAGTGAACGGGTGTGTGGAAACTAGAGCAATTCTGTGATGCAGAAAAGAGATAAAAATAAAAGCAAACTAGGACCTTATATTTGTGCACAACACTCACAGAGATTTATTTCTTCAAGAAGTAGCTATAAAACATTGAGAAACATTATGTCAGGTCTTTAAAGAATGTGCAGGCTTAAAGAAAAAAAAATGGCAGGGATTTAGGATGGTGTTTTATTTTGCTGCCTTATGTACCTGGAAAAGAAGAGGCTTTAAGAAAAGATGATTTGTAGTCATACCAGGGAAGGCAATAAGAAGTTGCTTCTTTAGCTGTATTGGCCGAGGGACTGGTTTCTAAAGATGAAAGTTTCGTAGTTCTTCCTTCAGAGAGGATACTGTCGCTATCTTATGGGAAATTCTTTTAAACTACACAAAATAAAACACAATAGGGAAAAAAAATACAGGTGATGAACAGTTCTGATGGTTTAACCCACCGTTACATTAGTTTCTTCCTGACTCTTTTCCTGATTGAGGCCACCAAATGTTTTTGGATAGTTTTCCATTAGCTGAACTTAAACAGAGGCGCTGCTGATGCAGAGAGCGCTGTGCGGAGATGCTGTGTGTCAGGCTGCATTCCTTCAGATCATTGAACAAGGCAGCGTGACGCAGCAGGGCCTTCCTGAATGCAAATAAGCAGATACCGTGTGCAGTGGCACAAAGTGAGGGGCCTGTAAGGCAGTAATTTTTTCCTAAACATCAGTATGTGCACAGGACATGATATTGCCATCCAAATCTCACCCCTTATGGTCTAAAGGGGCCAAGCATGAATTTTGCAATTAACATCTTTGCTAATTTTCTTCTACTATACACAAAATCTAATAGTTTTTTTTTCTTTAAAAAAAATGTATTTATTGCACTAGATCTCTTAAGTTCCTTCTACTCCATTGCTGGAAACAGAGTTTCTAAGTTTCTAATCTTTATTGCTCTTTTTTTCTTTTCTTTCTTTCTTTCCGTGATGATTGACCTGACGATATCCCGGGTACCGGGCGCGCCCGCCGCTCTCGCGCCAGCCCCTGCCCAGGCTGCCTGCGCTCCCGCCGGCCGGGTCGCTCCTCGCGGCGAGGCCAGGGCTCAACATCCACGGGGTTCCAGGCAGCCGCCCGCCCTTTACAGCAGGAACTCAAACGCCGCACAAACCCGCCGGTTTGCAGCCCCTGCGGCCTGCCTGCCATGAGAGGGCGCGTGTGTATGTGTGATTGGATATGCAGTTGCCTTAATATTGTCCTACAGTAGCCAGGCTCGACCTATACACCTGGGCTTGCATCAGTCCTGCCATTCCCAAAGCGATGCTGGCGCAGCTGGTGGTTTCCTGGCCTTCCAGACACAATAAACATTTGTAGAGTTTATTAGTTTTTGTTTTGGTTTCATGTGTTTTTTTCTTGTGCACGGTGACTGATACTTCAGTCAGTAATTGTATGAGCAAGTGCTGCAAGTATGTAAGCAAAGTCCCCGGCTTCCTTAAAGGACTTTTAAGAAATCTCCTAACCCGGGGCAGCGTGCCATGAAGAATTTGGGTGCCGAGCAGCAAGAATCTTTTAGGGGAGTTACCTTAAACATTCAGATGAAATTTATTCTGCAATCTGTCTTAGGAAACACAGAGAACTGGAGCACCACGCTCAAGCACAGATGAACGCTGTCAGAATAGTTGTGTTGAAATAATGCTAACACACCTGACATTAACTTGTCTGGAGAGAGGCTTCACAGCGAAATTGGAGGGCATACATCCATAGCCCCCTGCCTTTTCAGTTCAAGCAGTTGCCCTAAAGCCCGTTTTCTTTTTCTCAATATTCAGCAAACAGTTCTCCCTTATTGCCTCTTTTGTTGACATTTGTAAAGAAGTCTAACAGATTCTTGCTTTTTTTTAGAAAGACCTTCTCAGCTCTTCTCCCTGCCAAACACTAGACAATTCCATGTTTAATTATTGTTTCAGTTTTGCTTATGGTGAGTTCATTTTCTTCATGTACATCTGCCGTACAGTTCTGTGATTTATTTTTCTTCCTGTTTTTACTTAGTCATCTGTGATTTAATATTAAATAGACAGTTAATAATCTATTACGGTCCTCAAATATTTCATTTGCAACAGAGTCCTAAGTAATGCACACACAAAATTGCAGCCTCAGCTTTTGACGGGGTTCATTTGAGCAGCAATTTCTACTTTTCTTGCCAGGTTGGGATGTGTGAAAGTAGAATATTTTTTCCTTAACACGTTTTTTTTTTTGGCTACAGCAAAGATGCTTTCAATAATATGAAGTTTAGCAAAAAGTTCCATGGTTTAATTGTTCCTTATTTATTCCTTTGGCAGTGATTGTATACAACTTCACCCACTATAAATCTAAAACGGAGTCATAATTTTCACCAGGAAAGGTCTGAGAGCGTAGTTGCTCCTTCCCTAACCATTGCAAGCGTTCCCAAATTCTCGATATGGTTTTGGCTCCTCGCCTCTGGTCTGGCTGCCTGATAACGCGTGTGTGAGACGTGCTGAGCCAGCAGCCCTGCCAGCCCCCGCTGGGTGCACGCCGGGGACACCAACAGTCCTGCTAATACCAGGGGGACTACTATGTGCTCAGAGGGAACCTTGCGCCTTAAGTGCTTTGGAAACTGCCGTCTTAAATTACTTCCATTTTCCTGAAGGCTTAATTCTTTATTTGCACTGCTTTCTACTTCATGCTATTATGTTTCTGCCAATTTACATGCTCGTGTTGGGAATTTAATTTTGCAGGTGTTTTCTAAAGGATTCTTTTAACTTGCTGTGAAGGTGCCTGTTCTGCCACTTCGTATCATAGAGAAGTAGGCGCTCAGTCCCCTAGTGAGACTTGGCAGCTCCTGGACTATTGAAAAGCTCCCACATGCACTAAGCAAATGTCAAAGTCCTATCGACTTGACTAATTTATAGACTCCCTAAGCCCAGGTTAGGGGGGACAGGGAGAAACAAGGGGCTTCTTCAGAGCCCTCTACTTCTAGGAGTTTAAGACCCACTTGTGCTTTGCTCCTTGTTTTTGCTTCCTTCTTAATAGGAGTCCCATTGGTTCAATCATGTCTGACAGTTTCATGCCATGACACGTATTTTAATGTAAC